ACATTTCTAAATAGACAAAAATTCTAATTCCCACTGAAATAATGTTTACTAGTTTTTGACCTGCGCAAACGCGGGATTAAATAACTAAGTAGGTTGATTAATCGATTTCAATATATATAATTTTAATATTTAAACATATGACAAAGTATATATAATTTATAATATTTACAAACGTACAAAAATGATATGTAGTGTGCATAAATATAATAAAATTCAATATTTTTGATCAAACATATATTAATGCTATTAGTTTAAATATTTTTGTGTAAAATTAATCAAAAATATGAAAATGTTATTTATTTCAATATCTTTTAAGTATAAAATTGATCTTCATTATTCGTGTAAATTATAACGAATACGATAAATCTGATAAAAGTCTAAATTTATATGAATTTATTGGATATAACAAACAAAAAACAGAATATGTTTTTTAATAATGAAATGTATATATATTTTTAAGTGTGATTAAATATGTAGACTACATCATAATAAAGTTATTTGTTTAGTGTGTACTTATCTAAATACATATATATATATATACACAATAGATTATATTGTTATAAATATGATAATGAAAAACTTGTTAATGTATATAAATATAAAAAAAATAGATGATATAGTAAGTCTAAAATGTTAGAGAAATTTAAAAAAATACCACTTTTCAAGTGCCACTTTACAAAAATACCACACTTTTGAAATCTTTACAAAAATGCCACTTTTTCAAAATTATTTTTTATTTATATTATTTGTGTTTGGGTGAATTATGTTCTATTAGGGTTTAGTTATGAGGGTTTAGGGGGAGGGTTTAAGGGTCAAAACATTTTTTAGTGTTTATAATTTTAAGATATAGGATTTAAAAATCTATAATTAGTGGCATTTTTGCAAATGAACACCCATTAGTGACATTTTTGCAAATGTGCACATAAAAAGTGGCATTTTTGCAATTTTCCTAAAATGTTACATTTAGTTGGATTTATATTTTTAAAACATGTAATAATGGACTTATGTTAAAAAAAATAATGAGAATATGTAGAGATTTCCATCATTGCATATATTTTAAATGAAATATTCTGATTGGTTAATTTAAATGAAGTGTCTATTGAATTACATTTTGAGCGACACATAAAAAAATTTCTTCAATGTCTCTTCAATTAATATATAGAGGATTTCATCAGAGCTTTTAATTATCTTGAGCAAGTCTAGCAATCCGTCTCAAATCTTACTAATAGTACTGTTTTTCTGTTCAAAGAAACTCGTCCATCTCGAAGTGTAGTGCCGATAAATTTTGTCAACATTCTTGTGTTTCGAATAAATTGCGTCCCATTTATCTCGTAAGTACTATCCAAATCTGCTAACTGATTAATGCTCGATCTAATATGTATCGATTTGACATGTTTAAACTTAGAGGGTTAAGGAAGATTTTCTCCTGATGTTCCGAGTTTGCGGTTTTTCTTTTTCATTTTCATGTTTTTTTGTACTCCAACTTTTCACTACAAACGTAGCAAAGTTGGAAAATGTCGACTGAAGATATTTCTTTTCGTTAAAGACTTTGTCATTTTTGTCTTCTATATGTTCCATAATGAGCTAATAAAATAAGAAAAATTCCGATGATGGTTCACGCGGATTTCCCCTACATTTTCAGTTTCATAAGAGTTATCGATTACTAGACAACTACTAATTGTATAATATTTGTAAATTTTTGGTGTGACAATAATATGTTCCAACAACTATTGGTGGTGGTTACAAAAAGTACCATAATTTAGTTGGACTACTCACTATCACTAGTACTCACTAGTGGTTACATCTTATTCTTTTAAAAGAAAAAGACATCTTTTACTTTATTGGGACAGCTTTTGAATTGTTAATTTTAAGCTCTACATTGGATTCCTTCTTTTGACCATTCTCTTCTCTACCTGAAAAACCCGCTTAACATTTAGTATACAACATA